TGATGTATATAAAGACAAATATCTCATTCTATGGTAAAAAGTAACAAATCAAAAAACTACATTTATACATTAACTTTTAAATTTATTTTTTATTTTTTTTGGTACCGGGGATCGAACTTGGGTTCTTGCACTTGTGAGGCAGGCGGCAGAACCACTGAGCTAAATCCCCGGCCCTTTTTTTTTGTTTTGTTTTGGTACTGGGGATCGAACTCGGGTCCTTGTGCTTGCGCAGCAGGCAGCGAAACCACTGAGCTAAATCCCTGGCCCAACTTTTAAATTTAAATATCTAGATAATTTAAAGTAACTTAAAGTGACTTTGAACATTTTCATTCATGGGTTTTTAAATAGTGAATGAGGTTTCAGCTTCTGAGGTCAACAGCTGTTCATTATGTATAAATTCTTACTACACCAAGCAATTACATTCTATACAAGCCACAGTAGAGTAGCAGTGGTTCTCAGCCAGTCCTTTGAGATGACAACCTCCTCACAGATGAACATAGTACACAGGACCACAGGCAGGGAACATACTCCCTAATCATATCAATCAGTAAATGTTGAGATATCTGGCCTTTCTACTTATAAAAAAGATAAGGTACCCTAGCCATAAACAAGCTAAATTTCTCCAGAATCCCCTCAACCAATAAATAATAATCAATAAATAATTCAGTAAATAATAAAAGGTAAGAAAATTAAAAAGTCACTGCTCTTAAGCAATGTATGAATTAACTATAAAAGACATAGCTTGTTTCTTTTTTATAGTTAGGGAATTACTGTGGCAACTTAAAGGACTTATCTGAACTACTACTCTCTCTGAACTACCTGCCCCAATAAAACAATCTATCATACTGCCTTGGTGTTTACTCACCTGCCCTTAGTGGGCAGTCAGTCACATGCACAGCTGATTTAGGGTATGATGAACCCACAGGAAAGGCACACTTTTTTCATTTTTTTTACATGTTACTGTGACAAAATTAATGCTATCTTAAACATATTCAGATAATAAAACCATAATTCAAAGTAATCAATGAGCCCATAAAGAACATGCAAGTTGTACTTGCTGCCCAAAGACTGGTCAGGGTTGAAACTGTGCTGATTTCTACACAGGTAGCGAGGATACCACTGTCACTCCTGGGCAAACTTAGTGCTTTGGTCACCTAATGAAATAGCTTCCATTAGCCCTTCTTTACAACCTCTGAATAAATGACAGACCACTGTATAAAACATAAATGTATATTTCTTTTAATGCATTATATGTATTCTCTGTGAAATAAAATTTCATAACAATTATGGATAAAGAAAGACTAAAACAAAAATACTTTTAAGAAACTGCAGAGTTCTGATTTAAGCATTCATAACATGTTCTCTTTTAGGCCAGCAGATGTAGCTGTGAATTAAAACAGGAAATAAAGGTCCTTTTGTCAAGCTGCTCAAGGCCAGCCAACAGATGGCACCCTTTTGGGGGGAAATAGGGTTTATAGCAGAAATTCAATACAATACAGGGTAGCTACTGACAATTATTTGACACTGGAGTCGATTTTGATACCTGCATTTATCTAGAAATAAGCATCTCACCTATTTATTAGGTGCATAGACTTGAACTATTTCTGCTCATCATTTTCTAAGATTGTTACTCTTGGTCACAGAAAACTGACACTTTCCCCAAAATGGCAGTATTTAGTGATACAAGTTCACCATAAAAATTGTAAATGTAGGATCTTTCTAAATGCAGAGCTGAAACATCATATACTGCTCTCTGTAAGGCTCAGAATAGTGTCATTAAGAATCTGCTAGGAAAAGAAACAAAAAAGCTTTGGGCCAGGGATTTAGCTCAGTGGTGCCCTGCCTGCCTGGCAAGCACAAGGTCCTGAGTTCGAACCCTGATACTGAAACAAAACAAAATAAAACAACAAGAATTTGCTAGGAAAGGGTATAGGTAAGGACTTAGACAAGAACAGCCTACTGGGGAGCCCTGTCTTAGCCCCAGTGCCAGGTTCAGGGTAGGCCAACAAATGACTTCTCAATGAACAAACCACCAAGTTAATAAACATTACTGCCTTTAAAAGATGTGTCCTTGGAAAGGCATCAGTGGGCTCATTTTCTGTGAGACTTCTCTGATGTTCAGATCAAACTGATATGCCTAACAACCTATGTACAAAGAGTATTTGTGTTCTCTTTCTTGTTAAAGGATTCCACATATTCTTATATTCAGTAGTCCCAATTATAAAATATTTTTTCTCCCCAAAATATTTTATTTAGGTAATAATCCTCTTATTAGTGTCATAAAACAAAGTTCATGTTCTAGAAACTAAAATAGCATAGTCCAGCCTACAAAGCTAAATTCTCAAGCGTACAATAACCTAATTTTGTTGGTCTATGAACATTTAGATTGATTTTTATGACACTTATAAATTAAAAACTATTCACATTTCCATACCTTAAATTTTTACTCATTTTATGACCCATAGTACTAAACACCTGAAACACTGGAAACATCACCTACCAATTCTATCCAGTCAATGTAAAGTGGTAACAGGCTGTTGTTTCCACAGAAATGAGCAGCTTAATGACTTTATTACTAAGTGTTTGTATGGCCCCCAAGTGGATTTTAAATGTAGTCAAAGAAATTCCATGAACTCCTAGGCAGCTGTGCTTTATTTTCAGTATAAATTAATAAAAATAAAATCTTGCACAATTAAAAAAAATATATTACTGTTAAAGCAATACTTTTAAGAAATAAGGGAAAGTAAAATAACTCACCCATAATTCATTCAGATATTTCTATCAGATACCTTTCCTCCCAGTTTTTCACTTATTTTCAGATACCTGTTCTATTATATGTATGTATAGCTATGGATTCTTATCTTTCATGTACCACTATAAACTAAGCATTTTTCTACTGCAGATAGCTTAAAACAAGGTCTTCTCTTTTATGAGAAAACAATAGCCAGTCCTATACCAGACTTACATTAAACACCATGCCAAGAGATGAGGCCCTCATTGAAGATATTCAGAAAAACTTAGTGAGTTATCAAGAAATGTATGGATCATGTCACAATCAAATTCCTCTCCTGATCCTAAACCCTTCCACCTACATCTTTATGTCCATCTTAGCTAATGGTGGTAAGGTTAAAAAAAGCTAGCTCCTAAAGATTCATACCTGGGTTCAAATCTTGACTCTGCCAGTTACAAATTACATGATCTTAGGCAAGTGAATTATCTCTCTGAGTCCCAAAGCTCCAAATGCCTCACTTATAAAATGGGAGTTATTACTATCTGCTATATTGTTACCATGAAAAGTAAATAGTCTGCTGTGTCTAAAGTGTCTGGTACAATGCAAGAAATGCAAGAAAAATTGAGGTAACAGCAAGTCATCAAAAATCCTCCAATCATAGGTTTTCTAAGTTAATTTCTAGTTTATTGTTACTGACTACCTAGCAAAGCTACTTTAAAACTAAAGGTTGGTCAGATCAGAAGAGAAGCACTATATTTTGTCTATCAGTGTATTTTGAGTAAAAAGTGCAATAATCCCCATGTTTAGTTATGATTAAATGTGAAAAGCTCAATAATGTTTATAAGGTTGCTCCAGCAATCCCTCCACTTTCTCTCTCAGTTTCTCTCTGCTGAATCACTTCCATTATCATATACATGCCTCTACTGCATCACTTCCATTATCATATACATGCCTACTAAAACCAAAAAATAACTCTAGACCCTTTCCTCCTTTCTGGATATGACCCCGTTTCTTTCTTTTACTTTACAGCAAAACTTTAGATTTTTCTGTACATATTGCCTCCAATCTTTCTCCTCTAATCTCTTTTGAATCCATCCCACTCAGACTTCCCACCACCATCTCACCAATGACCACCACAGTGCTACACTCAGGGACTATTCAGCGCTCATGGTATGTAACTTCTCACCAGCATGCAACACAGTCAATCGTTTTTCCTTGAAATGTTTTCTATTCCTGTCATCCAAGCCCCATTTTGCCTTCCCTTCCTCACTGGTAGGGAAATCTTTGCTACTTTTTCCTCACACTCCAATCTTTAAACCTTAGGAGTACTCAAGGGCTCTTTCTTCAGACCTCTTCTGTCTTCACTGCTTTGCTGAGTTCATCTGATCTCACGGCTTTGAGCACTATCCACATACTGATGAAATTTACATTTGACTCTCCATGTGGCTATCTAACAAATATCTCAAACTCACAAGTCCCAGATGGAGTCCCTGATGTTACCCTCAATACCTCCTCCCACACTGGTCTGCATTCATTTTCTAGTTGTTCAGGCCAAACATTAGAGACATCCTTGACTTCACTTTCTCTTCTACTCCACATCCAGTGTATAACAAATCCTTGCTGACTTCAACTGCGAAATATATCCAGAATCTTCTTTTAATCAATTTCACCATTGCTACCTATTACAAATTACCACCCATTCTCATTTGTCATGAAGAGCCTGGTCCACAGAACTTCCTACAAGTTATTTTAAAAGAAGAAGAAAGAAACTGATTATCCTTAATGTATAGATTTTTAGTTTGGGGTATAAATTTTATATATTCACATATATAAATAATAGACATAATGTATGCATATTTAGGTTAAGATTTTTTTCTAATAACATGTAAATAACATATTAATAATTTAAATATTCATTTAAAAATATTTTAACTATTTTACAAGGGTATTTACATATGTGGATGTCAAACAGCATAGAAAGTTGTTCCAAATTAATAATTTTAATAAATAAGTAGCTAACATCAATTTACATAGAATGAATATTAGCTATGAATTAGTCATTCATTATATTTGAAAAACTTGTATTAGTTATTTATTATTTACTAGTAATGAGAAGCTGCCTAGATACTGGTAAGAATTTAGCAACATTCTGTCATTAATTTTCAAGACAGAGACCAAAATATATGCAAATTTGAAAACCAGAAAAAATTTAGACAACAGAAAGTAGAAGAAACAGCCAGATGCTAATTACAAGACTGCAGTTACTTACAGTGTGAACTCCTAAAGCTTTCCAGACTGCGAAGCTGATCACACCAACTCCACACCAGGCATAAAGTGAGCCCCAGCCCAGCGCTCGCAAGGCAAGAGAAGACCCACTCTCTGGTAAGGCAGCCGTGGCCATACTGCCCTGCAATGAAGACAGAAAGACTTGGCTAAAACAATCCTTCTGAAAAGGATAAACATGCTAAGAGTGTTTGGAAAGAATTGCAGTACTCTCTGCATAAACAACATGAAACACTGGGAGGCAAGAGGAGCCCAAGATCAAATAGTAGCTCTGCTACTTAATAATCTCGTGACTTCTCTGACCACAGATATGAATATGTAAGGCACTATGCCTGTTAAATTTTCCAGGAAAATCTTAGAACATTTCAACAAGATTTCTCCAAGCCTCATTCATTTGCACTTGCATTTGCATTAGAACACTGATTAGCTAATCTGATAAGAAATAGCAAATCTTTAACATCCTGTCTTCCATCTGGAAATTTCCATTTACTGAAGTCCTTTTCCTTTGTAGACAGTTTTCTTTATAATGCTCACCCTATTTCATAGCACAAGCTTTTCCTCTATTTTTTTTTGAGAGGGGTTCTCTATCACTGAGCAGCACTCTACTCATCTTTTTTGTTTTTAATTTTGAAACAGGGTCTTGCTAAATTGCTCAGGTTGGCCCCAAGCTTGAGATCCTCCTGCCTCATGATCCTGAATAGCTGAAATTAAGAGTCATGTGCCACAGTGCCCAGTAAGCCTGCTTTATAACAGTGAGTACTATTCCCAGTGCAAAGAAAGCTTCTGGTTTGTTGATCTGCATCCCCATACCCAGCATCATGGCTAGACCTAGCAGGTACTCAGTATCTGCTGACTGACACTTTTTATGGATATACCTTAGACCTAACCAGATCATCAAGAGATCTTTCTTTAGTCACTTTCTATGACATAAAATACCTTCTTACTCTTTTCCTATGTTGGTTTAATTTCAGCATGATTTCCCAAATACCACACATTTCACATAAATCAGCTGACTTTTAATTACCCTGAGTTTTCATCCAGAAACAGTGGCACTAACCAATATTATTTTACCAGGGTCAGTTAAATGCTTTGGCCTATATTTTCTTTTAGAAATGAAAACAACGCTGAGATTCCACCTCACTCCAGAAATAATGGCTGCTATCAAGAAATCCACCAATAACAAATGCTGGTGGGGCTGTGGGGAAAGAGGAACACTGCTCTACTGCTAGTGGGGGTGTAGACTGGTGCAACCACTGTGGAAATCAGTATGGAGATACCTCAAAGAACTAGGACTAGAAGTGCCATTTGGCCCAGCTATTCCCCTGCTGGGTATCTTCCCCAAAGAATTAAAAGAATCATACCACAGTGATATATGTGCACCCATGTTCATAGCAGCCCAATTTATAACAGCTAAAACTTGGAAACAGCCCAAATGCCCATCAACTGGAGACTGGATAAAGAAAATGTGGGGTTTTTTATAAATGGAGTACTACTCAGCTATAAAAAATGAGAAATTAGAGACATTTATAGCTAAGTGGATGTACATTGAGGTGATACTCTTAAGTGAAATAAATAGGACACACATGTGTAAATACCGAATAGTTTCTCTGGTGTGAGAAACTGAAAGTGTAAATAAGGACTAAAATGTATAACAGGTAATGTGAAATAGGAAGAAAAGGGGCAAAGGGGAAGGAAGTGGGAGGGGTAGGGGAAAGGACAGAAGGGAATGGGATTAATATGAGAAAATGGAAAAACAGGAACAAAATCTTTGTAAATAGGGAGGAATGGAGGGGTTCGAGGGAGGGCTGGGCAAGGGTGAAAAACAAGAACCAAGAGAGACTATGTAAAGGTGCAAATTTCCAATGATGAATGTCATTATATTGTATACCTAAAATGTACCAATGATTTGAATGAATAATCGATAATGCAAAATAGGAAGAAAAGGTCCAAAGGGGTAGGGGTAGTGGGAGGGGCAGGGGAAAGGAAAGAAGGGAAAGGAAAAATGATGAGAAATGGAAAAAATGGAAATAAAGTCTTTGTAAATAGGGAAGAGTGGAGGGGATGAAGGGAGGGCTAGCAATGGGGAAAAAATAAGAACCAAGATGCATTATGTAAAGGTACAGTTCCCAATGAGAAATGTAATTGTGTTGTATACCTAAAATGTACCAATAAAAGAATTTAACAAAAAAAAAATCTATTATTTCCCTAGAAAGGACAGAATTTATCTAGGCATATATATTTTTACTCTCTATATAAACCCATGTTTGTTTCACTAAATCAAGTTTTCAAAGTGACTATGTATGAAAATAACCCATAATGACACATTACAATAAAGTTTTCATTTTACCTAACTTAGATTCTTTTAAAAAAAAGTGTACATATCATTATCTGTGCAATATCAGTCTCATAAACTGAGATGAAATGAAAATTAGCTATAATTAACAAATTAGTCTACATGCTTTAAAAAATAAATTTTAGTGGAAAGTTGATGTTAAAAATTGATGTTAAAATTGATCCTTAAGTTTTAAAAAGTCTAATCACAAAGTTTTCCTCTGGGGAAAAATGTCATTCATAACCTCTATTCAAATTTTTCAAAATGAATGTTGGCTGACTTGCTGCAGGAAAAGACTGACTTGTCAAAAATAATCTTGCTTTAAAAGATCTTTAATATAGCCACACCTGCTACCATTTATACTTACATTTATGTATATATAAATAATGCTAACACACACACATATAATAAAATCTATACTTCCCTCACTGCCACATTACTTTTTATTTTATTTTTTACTTTTTTATTTTTTAAAATTAAAATTAAAGTACATGTATTTGGAAGTGGAATTTAACAAATTACACTGCAGTTATGATACTTTGTACCCAAAGATAAAAGATTCTTTTATAAATGAAAACTTCATATTTATAATACCTCTATGTCTAAGGACACTAGTATCCCTTATCTTCTAACTTTTATCAGCACCTTTTGAGAAAAGAGATGACAAGAATTAATCTATTATTCACATACTGTATGTAGGAACTACAAACTTCAAAGTGCAAATTGTTCATTCTTAAGGACTACTGCAAAACTACTAAATTTCACATTTTTAGCTTTTTTCAGTATAATTCTGGGATTAATTTTATTTAAGTCAAATGGATTTTTAAATTGAATGTTCAATCTAGTCATTTCCCCTATAAAGCATTCTTACCTAATAAAATATTTTGCTGTTTACATCACAGAAATAACTTTTTATAACATATCCAATATATTTAAAAGATTTTTTATTAATTTCTCAGAAATTATATCAAAAAGATGAATGACAGCTTGCTCTTTTCATCTATTGTTTAGATAAACAGGTCTTGAAATAACTCAGTTATTTGATGAAGTTCTGCCATGACACAGTATTAAGCTGAGACACTGAATTAAAGTACTTTAGATAAGTAAACTTTGTTAATACAGTTTAGTATTAATTTCTCATACATTCTGTATTTTCTTCATTTATTCTAACCAAATAGACATATATACACATAATTTTCACTCATCTCATTTGGTCTCACAATCATTTTTTGCAACTGATGTGTAAAAAGTATCAGTTTAAAAAAATACTGGTCTATTTTAATCAAAGAAGCTTGGGAGTGAATTCTTTAGCCACCTTAATTTGCACCTTCCTCTTTTTGTTTATTCAAAGAATTACAAAGAAAAATGTATGTTCACTGAGCCCTTACTATTGCTTTTCAACTCCCAGCTGTCTAGCATAAGACTTACATAAGATAATAAAATTAAGACACTAAGGAGATGATTATCTTCCAGAAAAGAAGCAATGCAGGCAGCCTCCCACTGAAAAATTGGTCATTTTAAAGTCGTTTTGTGCTCCAGTTTGAATCTGTGTTGTAATGAATACTTAAGATTCTCAGGCTAGAGGACAGTTTACTTAAGTAACAATATTGCTAAAAGTGGTTATCATTTATTATCCAGAAAAAAAACAAAGATGGAGAGAGTTCCACTTTAAACAAATAGATTAATCCATGTGTGCTTCAGTTTTCTGTTCTTAGGTATGAATAACGTATAGTATCAGTGTCTCATACGGCTGTGTGGTGGTTGAATAAAGCTCTTAGAAAAGTAGCTAGCAGATGGTAAGCAGTCAGATGTTAGGTATTATAATTACTACCGTGAATGTTAAAGAAGACCTCCAAGTCATGACTTTTCAGTATACTGCCAAAGTGACATTCTTAAACTGGTGTTTGTTCAGTGTAATTCCTGAACTGTGTCCTCCAGAACCTGAGTTCTTCTACAAATCAATTTACTTTTCAGAGTCTGGATAAGATGTTCTAATTCCATATTTCCCAGAGAGAGGCAGAAACTTACATAATATATTAAACTATCCAGGAGAGTGGTTCTCAAATTTTCTGGTCTCAACAGCCTTTTATACTTGGACCCCAAAGGTTTTCAGTTATGTGGATTACATTTTATCAATATTTACTTAGAAAATAAAAATAAGAAATTCACATTTTATTTGTTCATTTTAAAATAGTAAATCAATTATAGATTAATATAAACCTGTTTTTATGAAAAATAACTATTTTCAAAAAATGTGCAGTTTTACATTTTTGCTCGTCTTTTAAATGTCTAACGTAATAAAAGATGGCTGGATTTCCATATCTCCTGTAGTCAATCTGCTGCAGATTCTTCTTTTTAAATCGATGCATAAAAATATTGAAATATCTTATACTATAGGGAGAAAATGATCCACAAAGTTCACAGCAGTGATTTGGGTGGCTCTAGGTAAGCCCTGAGAGTATTCAGAGGGAATCCAAATGCATTTTAAATGTAGTCTCTCAGTCATTACATGATTCATAAGGCTTAAGTATGATTATTAAAGGTAAGTGGAAAGGAAAATCAACTGATTTATGATTTTCACATAATATTCTTCTTCCGCAGCATATATCCATCTGTAAGAATATAGTTATGTGAATATTTAGGATGTGTGCACCACACTAGACACTTTGGTTCCTGGGGGGCAGAGGTACTGTTCATTTCTTTACTCATTTCTTTACAGTGCCTGACACACAAAAGATTCCAAGTAAGTATTTGTTGACGCAAGGAAGTAATGAATAAATAAGCCAAATGGGATGGGAGGAGAGAGACAGGACAAAAGATAAGAACAAGTAACTACAAGTAAACATGAAGGAAATTTCTTATTAACCAGGTAAATGAAGTACAAAACATGAGAATAACTGCTCAATCTTGCTCATGGAGTAAGAATTTTCTGCTGTAAGTAGATTATAGTCAATTCACCATAGGACCTATTATACATCAGGTACTTTTCTGGGAATTGGGACTATAGCAGTGCCTGTATGTTCCCTATGTTCAAGGAGCTGACATAGTTTTCATTGATACTAAGATGAACTTTATTTCAACATTTTAACATCTCTGCAATAGATGCCTCTTGCAGTTAGTATCAAGAGTTTAACTGGCGTTATTTTCTCTTGCTAAATGATAACTGGTATATAAAAATTGGGGCCTCTTACCTACATTTAGATTTAAAGTCATGCCTCGAGTAGGAAATGTACAAGATATGCTTTTGAAGTCTTGTTCTGCTCAAATTTAAGAAAGCACGTATTTCTTTTTAAAAGAAAAAAAATTATCAATTAATTTGTGCACTTCTTGAATGCATGAGATGTATGCAGTTTACTTCTTAAAGCTATAAGAAAAGCCATCAACATTTTCTTGACTTTTCTTATCCAAAAAGCTGCCTTTATTGTAAATAATAACAATCCTATGAATGGATTTCAGTGTTACAAACCTTATTGAACCATTCAGGACTTTTCTTTTTAGCCAGTGATAATGTTGTAACAAATCCGGCTAGCATCCCAGCTGCAGCAACAGAACCAAGGAAAATTCCACCTGCCAAGTTTGAGGAAGAAGGGATAAGTTACAAAGATGTACACAAGTCATAGACATCTTTTACATTACATTCAAAATTACTTTTGAAATTCGAGAAGTTATGGCTAAGCAATTCTTGCCAAAGTTAAGTGAGAGAGACTGAAACCAGCGCGGCTCCTGAGGTCATTCTGAGGCATAGTTCTCACTTGAGAATTGGCGCAGGCTCTTCCCTCTCCCCCGAGACAGTGGCTCGAAGTTTCTCCCGGAGATGAGAAGTGAGATCATGACAATTAGAAAAGCCAGAGCAGGAGAGAAACTGCAGAGAGGCTGGGGGAATACACCATGCACGGGAGAGGAGCTCGTTGGATTTGCCCCAGTGCCGGGGGAGACTTGCCCCTGGCAAGAGACTGACCCCACCAGTTCTAAGGGCTCTCAGACGGGCTGTTTAGGAATGCCATTCCAACGCAGTCCAGGGCACCAAGTGAGCTAGCCCAGACACCGCACCTCACCACACCACACCTTTCACCAGGAAAAGCCGGTCGTCCGTGGACCCCGAAGCCTCGAGGGAAGAGGAGGACCCTCCAGACCCAGAGCCCGGTGACTCCATACTTAAGTCCCCACAACTGCGTCCGGCACCAACTGGGTCCGGGTGGAAGCCAGAGAGAGGCGGAGGAGAAAGGTTCCGCGGCTGCCTCCCCTTGTGCAACCCGAAGACTGGTTCGCAGTCCAGCCACTGTCAGCAAATCCCCTCTCCGCCGCCGCCCCGGGCCGGGAGGATGAAGCGGCTGCCAGCAGTGTCCCTAGCTCAGTGCCAGGGGCAGTGTCTTCGAAGGCGGTCTCCCAGGCAGGATTTACTCGCCTTCTCCAAGATGGTGACTGCGGGACCTTCATAATTTTATCTACTTGAAAGAATACCCAGTCCTGACTGTAGGAGGCAGTGAGAGGTCGCAGATTGAGCTAGGAACCTAGTCCAAGCCTGGATTGAGACCCTAGAGCTCAGTTTCCTCATCAGCATTACACTGGGTCCAAAGTTTTGCCCTGCGCAAATATCCCACAGTTCTAAAAAGCAGGGCTCAGTCTTTGTACTTTTCTGAGGAATTTCGAAACCAGCATCCCTTGGGGTGAGAGGCTTTGTTCTGGAAGAGCGCCCCCTAACAGCACTGCGGGGACGCCCGGCTTCCCCTTGCTTTGATTGGCGGGTACTGGAAGACTAGCAAGACTAGCACGTCGGCGAGCAGAAGCCTTCTCTCCGAGATTGGTATCAGGGGCTCCACGGTCGCCCTCCAGCAGCTGGGGAGCATTGGCACCTGGCAGGCTGGCCTGGCCTTCAGTCTGGGAAGCTGGTGATGACTTCAGTCAGTGACCATTGATAGGAGGCTAGAAGTCGGTAGAGTCTTTCCAACCTCTCAGAGACACAGGAAATCATCATTTAAAATAAAACAATAGGTCTGTCTGCCTTTTTTATTTCCTGATCACTCTAAGGCATGGCTTCCTGAGGATAGAAATAGGGATCTATATTTTTATATTCCCTAGCTCTCAGCATATTAGCTGGTCCTGCACAATAAATGCTTGTCAGATGAATGAGGAAATGAATGCAATAGTTTTTGCATCGTTAAATTCATATAATAACCCAAACCTACGTTCAAGTCCTAAACTACTTTTTTAGCTTTATGAACTTAGGGTTATTTAGCCTCTACCTCAGTTTTCCTCATTTGTTAAATAAAGAAACAGAGTAAGGTAACCTTACCTCCTAAGGTTACTGTGAGACTTAAGTGGAGTAATGCATATAAAGAAGTTAGCATAGCGCTTGGCAAAAAGTTAATAAATGTTTGCTTTAATTATTGTCACTTTTGATTTCAATAGTTGTTTTTGCTTCATTGTCTATGGAGATTTAAAAATTATTATAGATGCTCAGATTCTATCACTGGAGATTATGGCTCTGAAGGTCCAGGGAAGGGTAGAGTTTAAAAACTCCTCAAGGGTTCTGATGATAACCAGCAAGAACTACTTCTCAGTCTGTGTGGATGAGACCATGCATGACTGACCTTTGAGTTCCTTGGAAACACAATGTCAGAATCTGAAAGGGCCCTTTAAACTGGTAAATTCGCTGCTAATTTGCTGAAGGTCATAAGAACTTACACATTTTCTTTCCACTCACAGATAATAGTGACCTTAACTGTTAACATTTATTGGGTGTTTTCTATATGTGCTTGCTATTGTTTGGGTGTTCAATTTACCCCCAAAGCCTATGGGTTAAGGCTTGGTCCTCAGAGAAGTGCTATTAGGAAATGGTGAAATGTTTGGGAGGTAAGGCTAATGGGAGTCTTTAGGTGCTTGAGTGTGTGCCTCCAAAGGGGTTATGGGATCCAGGTCCCTTCCTCTGCCTCTTTGTCTCCTTGGTGACATAAGTGGTTTTGCTCTACCACGTGCTCCCTCCATGATATGCTGCCTTACCACAGGCTTCAAAGAACAGGGCCAATTGATCATGTACTGGAACCTCCAAAACTGAAACAAATTAAACCTCTTTTTAAAAAAAAATATTTTATTGGTACATTTTAGGTATACAGTATAATGACATTCATCATTGGAAATTTGCACCTTTACATAGTCTCTCTTGGTTCTTATTTTTCACCCTTCCCCTCCCCTCCAG